ATTTTTAGATCTGTAATATCTAGATAAATTTTTAGATATTACAGCAAAATCGTATTATCCGTGTAGAAAATATTTAAAAAATGGACAATTTCTTTCCAAGCGACAATGTCTTTAATACACTTAAGACGCATTTAGTGTACATAATGTTACTAAAGTAAAAATAAAATGTTTGCCCAGATAAAAGAGATCGATATTGTTATTTCTATTTCGTCACGTCATTCCCGGTTATCGAAGCATATCCATTTTAGCCATTTTGAAACTCGAGAGTGTAACTATTGAAGTCAATGCGCAAGTTACTCCCGATTGAGAAACTTTGAACTCAATTCGCCCCGTCATTATGGAGTACTTGTCCACCTCCGATGTTGAGAAGCGCGAAGGGGATTAACGCTCGAGAATGCATCGCCACGTGGTGGCACGTAGTAAATGCGCCGCACGCGCGCGGCGTGTCACCAATTAACCCTTTATGGCCTAAATTTCTGTACACGTTGTCCCGGCCATACTCGGACACAAGTATAAATTTCGCACGACCACCGGCTGTGAAATTTTCTTTATACTCGCACACGTGTTCCACGACAAAACGCTACGTTTTACGGAACATGGTGGTAGATTTATTTAGTGTCGCGGTGAAACAGTGAATCGCAAGTTATAAAACATTCTAAAAAGTAAATCTGTAAATTCGTAAAACGCTGAAACTGCAACGAGACGAGAAGAAGCGAGAACTTTTTATCGGGGATAATGTTCGTTCAGAGTATTGTCGATATGGCTTTCGAAATAGGTACGTAAAAAAAAGTCGGCGATATAAATTACCAGTTTACGAACTTGTCGCGCAATAAAAGTAACATTTCAATTAACATGAAATTAAGCTGCGCGAAAGCGGACTTTTGTTATCAACGCACATCGATAAAGTTTAATATTTCTATATTATAGCCTTAGTAAGTGGCACGTGCTCTGGCTGGTTTCGCGACCGTCGTCATATATGTAGTTGAAAGTTAATGTGATCCTGCTCTGAGATAGAACATCCGTTTTAATCGGCTCAACTTGCTATTTCATTTTTCTCAATTACGGCGAAACGAGATATTTAATTACGACGAGAGGAAGATATGTATTTTATTCTTTTACACGGTGCGCAAATTATATCAGTGCTGTAAGTTAATTCTTTAAAATTCTAGTAGAAAAAGGAATAAATGTCTCTAATCTTTAAAACCCAGATATTTTTCGCCTATGTCAATAAATCATCATTTATATTTCTAACACAGTGAAATGGCTCTTTTTTCTCAAATGGAATTTATGAATGTCACATCTTGCGACATATCGCGCTTGTACGAGAAATCTTGTGAGTCACAGGCTTGGCACGAGCAATGGTTCATTCCGGATATTCCCAAAAGCGAATCCAAGTCGTCGATGATACATTTCGCGTCGCATCGATGGAATACGGTAATACTCGCGAGAGGTCCGAATTTTTAAAACTATTCACCGGCGCGCGAGAAGTTCCGAACGAGTGCTCTGACCGGACAAAGAGCAAGAACAATAAAATTTGCATAGATGTCGGATAAATAAAAACGCAGAACGAAAGCTGTAAATCAAACGTGTCCAACGGCAGCGAAACGCTATATCGTCTATTATCGAGATATATCTATTCTCACCCTGCACTGACGCGATTCTAGCAGCGCAGCAAGAATTCTATCGTTCTCTTAAATTAATGGCGTGTCACCCACGGCTTTGTTATGCGATCTCGTCTCAAGCGATTTCCGAAAGAACAAAGCTATCGATCTTGGAGTAATCAGAATCAAGATAAGCAAGAAAATAACTCGCATCGGCGCATTTATACCTCTCGTATCGGTGTTTACATAATGCGTGTAGTATATTGATACAGAAAAAGTACACAGAGAATAAAAAGCGGAGAATTTATCTTTCCTGTTTAAATGTCTGCCCCGGTAAATTTGCTTTAATACAAAAAGAAAACAGAATATGTGCTTACCGAAGTTTAGATATAAAGAGTATAAAGTGTTTATAAATTCTCTTGCAAACGCAAAAAGAATTAAGCACATAATGATAAGAGAAGGGTAAAGACAAAAAGTTCGATATGTATGTATGTTTTCTCTCTACACGAAAAGAGGCACGAAAGAGTACCGCAATAAAGTGAAGCCAGAGAGTTTACGTTACTTCCACAAAACTCTAGCGTTTCTCAAGATGAGAAAATGCGGGCTTACACCGCTATTCTTCAGTAACAGTTCGCGCATTTCCATACGGAAACTCGAGACCTCCTGGAGACGGCATGGCATCGAGATTGAGGAACGAAAATGTGCGCGATCATCGCGACGACGCGTGAGAAAATTCACGTCCTCTGTTCACCTGGCGGAATAACGTTCTCACACGTATAGAGCTCAGGTACGGCGCGGGCGACGCGCGACGACGCGTGGCCTAGATATCGCGTCGAATATGAGTGAGTTTTGTAATACGCGATTCGACGCAGCGCGGCGCGAGCAGAAAGCGTGGGTGGCTTCGATCATCGTCGGCGTTGAGTCACTCGCGACGACGAGTTCCCATAGCCCGCCGCGCCGCCAACGCCGTGCAAGGTGCCGTGCATGCGCAAGCTGCAATCAGCGAGCACGTATCTCCGTGTGCTGTGCAGTAAGAGACAGAATTGTCCGTTGACGTCATCCTCGACGATTTATTCGATCCGCGCCCGAAGTTCGACACGCCTGTCGCTGCGCACTTGTACAAAATGTCTCCGGAACGAATCGCGTGAATGTTATCAGGAAACACGAATCTAAAGATCACTGACAGCGTAATTAAAACGAGATAATACCGAAAAATTCCAACGACAAGCTGCGTTTTACTGATAAACAACAATTAATCTATATGGTAAAGATTACATAAACAACTATACTTGTACAAGTTGAAAAAACTTGTATTATGCTTTCAAGAAACTCTTATCGGACGAGAATTAAAATTTCAGCAGTTACAATGTTAGTTAGCGTGCACACTCTTCAAAGGCAAAAGAATTAAAAAATTCATAGCTTTAGTATATACACGTGTTTCGCGCATCGCGCCAACTATTTCCAAAATGACTAAATTGCATGATTCGCGTTGATGCACATACTCGAAATATAAAAAGATGTGAAAGTGGCCCGGAGATGTTTGAAAAATATGTTTCATCAGCTAGTAGTTTTTTTAAAGATTTTTCACCAACAACTTTACTGTATGTTTTACATATAGATATCCTACAAAAAAGAGGGAAAAATAGAGAGAGAGAGAGAGAGAGAGAGAGAGAGAATTGCTACATAGCAAAATTTCACCTATTGCAAGAAAATTTTAACTTTTTAAATCGATGCACATGTACGAAAAAAAAAACCTCGTGGACTTGCAAGTGCAACATGAAACATTATATCTACCAAAAATGTATTTGTGCATCATATTTTTTCTCCGTCCCGCGCGATATACAATTTCAATTATGCCAAATAATACATACGTAACGAGACTTTTTAAATTAGCATGCTTTTGTTGAAATCTTGTTTTTTTTATATATATATATATATAATTTGTACAATCTTTTTTTCTTTTTTAAATATGTTACGTACAATAAATTATATTTTATTTTTAAATATGTTTCAATCATATTTTATAGATATATACATATATGCAAATTAAAGCATTAAATTATTTCAATAAAACTAATAATTTCTCGTAATGAACAATAACATTATGTTTATATAATAATGTTTGCAAACATTCATCACTCATGGAACGAACCACACTTTCGATACGCACGTCAGATAGAGTTTGACTGTATCATCACGATGTGAATTTTACGTCACGTCGGATGCCACTCGTTTCATAGAAAACACTACTACGATAGGTACTCCAATATCCACGTTATCAGTCCGAAAACTATTGTATCGATAACAAGCGAATTTTACAAGTGAACCAGATATTGCTCGATTGTGAATTTAAAAGATTCGAAATTGTCACAATATACGATCGAATCGACATTAGTTCTATTTAATCTAGAAAAAGTATTTAATAGTCGCGATTGTATATCGCAAATTTTAATAATTTCTATTAGTAAAGAACGATCATAAGAATCGGTGTCGCGACTACTTTGCCATTGAGATTAAACACACATAATAAAAGATGAAATGTCAACTGTTATCGAATAGCTTAATTTTCCATTTTTCTTTCATCAACAGCCAGAAGCAATTTACAATTTGAATGTTCCTCGATTTATGTCATTTTTGGAGTTTCTAGAAGCTTAAGTTAAACAAAGCATTCAAAATTGTAGAAATAATCACGCTAAAAATACTATCAATTTTCGTTACTTTCGTCATGCAGATTGTCGACAGAATAAAACAGCGCTGCAACAACTATATAGGTCCGATTCGATTGAATACACCGTTGGCTCGAAAGCCACCGATAACGTGTCCACCATAACCCCACCCCTTAAAATCCACAAAATTCCGGAATCCGGTCTGCCACGCACAGGATGAAACGCAGAGAAGAACGAGGATAATAAAAAGCCTCTGGTTCCACAACTTCACGTAGTCATCGCCACGAAAAAATCGGTACAAAGATTTTACAATGTTCAAACTTTGCACGAAAAAATATCAAATGAAACAACGCAAATATACATATGTCGTTTTACTTATCATTCATATAAAAAATTAGCTTTTTTTTTTTTAATGAATTACTCTTTTATATTTTTCATGTTCCAGCATCATATAATACTTTACTCATAATACAGTAATAATCGCATTTCGCATGTCATTTATACGTCGTTTCAATTCACTGAGAGAATATTTCTCATATTTTTCATTATTACATTCTTTTTTCGTATTATACGTGGTCAGAAAACAGAGATGAAAAGTGATCGCAGAGTGCAATCGTCAATTATGTCATTTCAATCCATAAACTTTTTACACCTTAATGTCATACTTTGACAAATCGCATTTATGATCATATAAATAATTTACGAAGCGCAGAGATTATATTTTTCCACGTACCTATTTTCTATCTCAAGTCCCATCGCGACATATCCATTGGTGCAGCAAGATCGATGTCAGCGCTGATCCTGTAATCGTTACTCGACTTCGCCTGCAAAAGAAAGAAGAATCGAAGGTAAGAACTGGAAAGATATGGCGCGTAATCGTTGCGGTGTAGTAATTGCGATGATAATGATGACGGTATACATCATGCGAAGTATGATCATACGGACGGATGATGCGCGATTGCGTCGCGTCGTCGGAATATGTGTCATATTATCATGCAGTTAAGATTCCTGCAAAAAAATCGAGACGAAGAGACGGAACAGAGATAATGATATGCTTACAACGTTTGCATAAATTAGTTTCTAAATGCGGAACGTTCAATAATAATATAATCCTCTTTAATATTTAATTGCTTGTACATGAGAGGCGCCGTACCCTGCTGATGTTTACTCGTTCCGTTTGCCTTCGTTCTGCTTCCATGATGGTAATACGGTAACACTCTATGTATCCCATTTTCCTAAATCAAGATTACGTTCACACATCCATATAATTATTTACTTATACAATTATACTAAATTGAGATGCAACTGCTTTTGCGCGTCGAAAGTGCTAAGCGAGTACTGATGTTAGTTCGTTTCGTGCCAGTGGTTAAAGGTTACAAATATTTTGTAGTACACACGCAAGCATATAAATTACGCTCGACGTTATCTGCGACATATTATGCAAATTATCAAGTAGATAGTTGGAAAAGTAGAATTAAAATTCTTGTTAGAAGAAAAAAAGCGCTCGTTATTTTATTATAACGCTTTTATGTGAATTTCTAAAAATATAATATTTCTAAAATTACAGTAAATGACATATTTATTTTTATTATATTTTTTCTCAACGATCTCTAATCCTTGACGATACGTTACTTGACACATATATGTAACGAAATTAAAATACATTGTTAAAATATTCATAATTCGTATAAATAAAACGAGCCACGCGCTATTAATAGTTGAACTGCTTAATGAGTCGCGACGATTTTATATTTTGGTCGTGCGACAATTTTCGTATCCCGTTCGCGATCGACCCGCTCGGCTCCGACGTTTGATAAAATTTCCCGCAAAATATAAGGAGCGGGTCGATCGATTCGAAATCACTGGTGTTACAAAGCGGGAACCTCGCCCTAGCCGAAGGGCGTTCTCGGCACAGACGGACGACAGCACAAAGCGGCCGCGCGCACACGTCTCTTTTTCCTGCGAATATCGGAGAGATCTACGCACGCTCTCCTCTCTAGAAACCACTCTCGATATCGCATCTCGCTTCCTACCACCCCACCTCGTGGATACGCGTAAAATTCCAGACCTCTGTTCCAAGTATACGCATCACAAAATACGATGGTATCGTCGAGATCAGCGGTAACACAGATGTCCGTCGATCGAGAAGAGTGTAAAGCGTAGAAAAAAAAAAGAGATCATCGAGGGTTACATATTATCCATTATCTCTAATCTCTACCACTAATCGAAACCAGATTCTAAATCGTCCGTTAATAAATATCGAAATCTCTCCCGCTTCCTCCCCTCTTTGTAGATTTAAAGAACAGTAATGGGACTTATTTGGATCTTTCAAATCAAATTATAAAACCTCTTTTTCTATCCTCGAGTTTTAAAGACCTTTGATCGCAGGGGGGAATGAAATATAATGAGCGTAAATGAGTAATGAGATGACGCAAATAATGAGCGAAACAATGGTAATTAATTTTTTCGATTACACATCCTTTTCTCCCCTTGCCTTTTTTCGAATTCGTTCGGATTAAACATACGCGGGTTTTGATTATTTCTCTTTTGTAAAACATTTCGAGAACATCGAGGACGATTTCTATTCTCTCCTATTCTGTTCTATTATATTGCTTCTAAATTGCTGTCCTCTCGCGCATCCTTTTCTCCGTATTCCCCTCACCCCTCTCGCATTCTCTCGCACGCATACACACGCGACATACGATCGGACAAAAGATAATCGCGGAGCTGCCTGTCGTGTTTCCACCGCGCACGGCTTTCGGGTGTGCTGGTTGCCCGAAGGGGGTGACGTTGGGCGTCGCGAGGTAGTGGTAGGAGGGAAAGGGGCGAGGGCCGCAACGGGGACGGCAGTCGGAAGAGAGAAGAGACCGACAGAGAGAGAGAGAGAGAGAGAGAGAGAGAGAGAGAGCACAGAGTCGCGCAAAGCGAAGAGGAGTCGGTCGGCTGGCAGGGGGTTGGCGGACGAAGGGCGAGGATCGGAGGCGGCCGGGTAATGGGGGAGTCGGTACGTGGGGTGGCTCGGTGGTACGGCAACGAGCGGTTTCGCGGGCCTGTGGGTGGACAGGCGGCACG